AGAATATCAGCCAACACACCCCTAATTCCCTCCCTTCACTCACCCACACACACCTCACACCACTACTACTCACACACGCATACACACCACTACTACTCACACACGCATACACACCACTACTACTCACACACGCATACACACCACTACTACTCACACACGCATACACACCACTACTCTCACACACGCATACACACAACTACTCTCACACACGCATACACACCACTACTCTCACACACGCATACACACCACTACTCACACACACGCATACACACCACTACTCACACACACGCATACACACCACTACTCACACACACGCATACACACCACTACTCACACACACGCATACACACCACTACTCTCACACACGCATACACACTTTACATCTTTTTTTAAAATTTATTTATAACTTTCATTTCTTTTTCAACAGAACATTTAAAAAAATAAAAATAAAGATTACAGGACAAAACAATAACATAAAATAAAATACATATGCTCTTCATTACTATTACTTCATTTACAATGAGGCTTCTACATTGGTTTTTATAACCTGTTTACTTTCACACGTATGAAAGGCCCAGCATCTTCCTTCTATTTTAACAATCTATACTAAGTATATACTAAGTCTTGCAGTTAATCAATCATACATATTCAGATGGTCATTCATTAATATAAAATACTGCCCAAGCGTTATCCGCATATTTTATATTTACATTAAACTATTATTGCCCTTTTCTCTTTAAGGTCTGTTTATACTCTACTCCTGAATACTAGCCAATCTTGCCACCCACACACACCTCACACACACACACGCGCATACACACTTACATCTATACACACACACTACACCTTGTGTAGCAATTGTGGCTTTTCAGTTATTCGTCAATCTCTCCCCCGTGCTCTGGTTTTCAACAAATAACAAAACTATATAGGGTGTCTGTGTGATTCTGTCTGTCATTGTGTGTGTATGGATCTTTGTCCATCTGGGTTTCCATCCTATTCCTGTTACCCTTCCTTCTCTTACTGGTTTGATTTCACACCCCCCGTTTGTGCCTTTTTTTTTTTTGCCATTTTGTTTGTCGTACCCAGCTGGAACTCCACATTTATCTCATGTTTTTTTTACTCTTTCCATTCCTTTCAGCCATTCAGGAGAAGAGCCAGGAGCTGCTGATTCGGGAGACGTGCGAGTCTGTCATTATAGGAGCTCTGCACCCCAGAAGTTCTATCACTATCATCCTTCAGATTGTGAGCGATGCTGGATCTGTATCCTTATATCATTCCGCCAGCAGATAGGGGCAAGATAATCGAGCTGAGAGTCACTGTTACCTGCGTAAAACTGATGTGCATTGCTCATGCGGCGTCCCTTTAAAGGGTTAGCCCAAGCAGTCTTATAAAAAAAAACGTTGCTTTTATAGTAACCCTTGCACTGCCCACCACCTTAAAAAAAAAAAAAAAAAGAATAAACGTGAGGCTGAGGCCAAGTTCTATCCCCTAATCCTGTCCCCTTGCTACCAGGAGAGGGTGGACTGAGGGGAGGACATGGGTGGCACAGACCCCACTTTTACACAAAACTGACACATGCCTCACTTCAATCTGTAAATTTCTGGTGAGATATTCCAGGGGAAAATATAAAAAAAAAAAAAAAAGTACAAAGAGGTTCTTGTGCGTGAACAGCGCCCTGAATCCTGGTAGAATGTGTTGCTTTGCAAACCTTGCTGGAATCGGGGCGCCACACTCCGGAATGGTTAGTAAAGTAGATCGTATTAAATAAATCGTCCGACTGATGTATACGAATTATCCCGACAACCATTTAAAGCCAGCAATTAAAGAGCAAGTCATAAGGTTTACAAATATCGTTAATGTTTTGCCGTTATCAGAGTTCTTTCACGCTGACCCATAACACCTGGTCCTGGTCTAGTCACTAAGACATTTCCAGAAACTTCAAAGTAAAATAAAAGGGACACTTCCTCTCATTGAAGATGTCTGGGTGCAGTGTCCCTGTCCCCATTGGCCTACAGTGAAAATCAGGATTTAGAAAAACTGCAATGTTTATATCGCATGATTAAGGCTACCACTAGTCTTCCAGACAGCCACTTCCTGCATTTACACAGAGTTTAACTCACTCTGCATTAGGACGTCCCGTGTCTTGAAAATCCTCATAGGGAAGCGTTGATTCAGTGCTAATGAATTAGTGGGGTGCTTGCCACGCATGCTCATTAGCTGTCCGCTGACATAGGAGGAGGTGGAGACGGAGCCAGGAAACAGGTAAGTGATTAAAAGGTTTTTATTTTAACCCTCCGAGGGGGAGAATGCAGCTCTGTATTCCTAACGCTATAGTGCTTCTTTAGGGTGAAAAAGCCAAATTTGACAATTCTCTGTGGTTTAAATTCTGCTATTCTGGTGTAAAATTACTAAACTCTGACATGTCCGGAATGTCTAAACAGCTTGGTAGGTGTTCTGTATGTGATACATTACATTTCACTTGTTTCTACCTGTATGTTCAACTTACTATTCTCTGCTAGCTTATACAGCGCCACAACTTGTGCTGATGCTTTGAGAAATCGAATCACATTAATGCAGGTCAGTACTTAAAAGGGAACCGTCACTTCTCTGCAATTTGATTTACTGGGAGCTAAGATGGAGGTGCCCAGTTACAGGGTAAAGAGGTGTGGATTTCTACATTTAATTTTGCTTTTCACACCTCACAGATATATATTTGTTAAATATAGAGATAAGTAAACATATCAATAAATTCAGCCATTTCCTTTAAGGAGCACTGTCCCTTCAAGAATTTTTGTGTTCTTTGTCTGAAATTAGATATTATTATTTTTTTTCCATCTAATCTTTCTTTCAAATTCCAAATCTTGCAATTTAGCTGCACAGTTGATGCTTAGTAATGCTGTTAGCAGTGACAGACTCTGTTTCCTAGTCATTCCAATGTTTGGACACTAGTGGGCAACATAGGCTCAGTGAACACAGTTCTGTATCTGTCGGTATAATCACCAGACTGCAAGACCAAATTATATTCATATGCCAGGACGGACCTCAACTGCTCTTATTGGTATGAATAAAATTATATTTCATAATATGACAAAAGTCTGAATTTAGTGCAAAGTGTAGACATATGGGGATTTATCAATCGTAAAATTACCCCCGAATTTGTCTGCTTTTTAGCAAGATCTACCTGGTAGCAAAAACGTTCCATTCAATAGAGTTTAGCTAATGCTAAATGAGTAGGGCATTCAATTCTATAGAGCCTAGCTGACACTAAATGAGTAGTACATTCCATTCTATAGAGGCCAGCTGACACTAAATGAGTAGGGCATTCCATTCTATAGAGCCTGGCTGACACTAAATGAGTAGGGCATTCCATTCTATAGAGCCCGGCTGACACTAAATGAGTAGTACATTCCATTCTATAGAGCCCGGCTGACACTAAATGAGTGATTCCATTCTATAGATGAGTGAGGGCATTCCATTCTATAGAGCCCGGCTGACACTAAATGAGTAGGGCATTCCATTCTATAGAGCCCGGCTGACACTAAATGAGTAGGACATTCCATTCTATAGAGCCCGGCTGACACTAAATGAGTAGGACATTCCATTCTATAGAGCTTGACTAATGCCAAATGAGTAGGACATTCCATTCTATAGAGCCCGGCTGACACTAAATGAGTAGGGCATTCCATTCTATAGAGCCCGGCTGACACTAAATGAGTAGGACATTCCATTCTATAGAGCTTGACTAATGCTAAATGAGTAGGACATTCCATTCTATAGAGCTTGACTAACGCTAAATGAGTAGGACACTTCTATAGAGCTTAACTAACGCTAAATGAGTAGGACCATTCTATAGAGCAGGGGTAGGCAACCTACGGCACTAGTGCCATGCACGGCACCCAAGGTGTCTTTGCAGGCTGCTAGAGCCAAACAGGCTTTGGCTATCAGGAGACCCAGTAAAACTTCAGATATCTGCTAATACGAAGAGGTGGTGAAGGACAATCCTCAATTTATGCATTTTCATCACAGATCACTTCCTCCCAGCACTTGTGAATGGGAATCCACACTGTAGTAGAGCAACCCACAGCTGCTATTGCAGCTCCTGTCCTTGACCTGTACCTGGCCAGCCTGGTCCCCACTGGAACCCAGAGAAGCCACCCGCACTGCTAGATATACACAGAAATGCATAATAACAACAGCCCATACACAAACATACACACAATCCCCACAAACGCAACACCACTAACAATCCACATACATGCACACAACCACACACGCAGCCTCTCACATGCAATACCCCAAACATACACACTACCAAACACACAATGTGACATATCCATCCACACACAATTCCACAAGCAGCCCTCATACACAGCCCACATTCATATGTATCATACACAATACCATAATAAACTACTAATGAACATATACAATATAATAGCTCCTATACACACAAATACAACAATACAAAGCAATTACAGTAACAATAACAAGCAGAATACAGCAGCATGCACACCTCAATTTAAAAAACATAGATCGACACGCCACGGGACATCACAATCCTATATCGGCACAGTGCTGCTAAAAGGTTGCCTACCCCTGCTATAGAGCTTGACTAACGCTAAATGAGTAGGATATTCCATTCTATAGAGCTTGACTAACGCTAAATGAGTAGGACACTCCATTCTATAGAGCTTGACTAACGCTAAATGAGTAGGACACTCTATTCTATAGAGCTTGACTAACGCTAAATGAGTAGGACATTCCATTCTATAGATCTTTGCTAACGCTAAATGAGTAGGATATTCCATTCTATAGAGCTTGACTAACGCTAAATGAGTAGGATATTCCATTCTATAGAGCTTGAGTAACGCTAAATGAGTAGTGTATTCCATTCTATAGAGCTTGACTAACGCTAAATGAGTAGCATATTCCATTCTATAGAGCCCGGCTGACACTAAATGAGTAGGATATTCCATTCTACAGAGCTTGACGAACGCTAAATGAGTAGGACACTCCATTCTACAGAGCTTGACGAACGCTAAATGAGTAGGACACTCCATTCTACAGAGCTTGACTAACGCTAAATGAGTAGGATATTCCATTCTATAGAGCTTTAGTAACGCTAAATGAGTAGTGTATTCCATTCTATAGAGCTTGACTAACGCTAAATGAGTAGGATATTCCATTCTATAGAGCCCGGCTGACACTAAATGAGTAGGATATTCCATTCTATAGAGCCCGGCTGACACTAAATGAGTAGGACACTCCATTCTACAGAGCTTGACGAACGCTAAATGAGTAGGACACTCCATTCTACAGAGCTTGACGAACGCTAAATGAGTAGGACACTCCATTCTACAGAGCTTGACGAACGTTAAATGAGTAGGACCCTCCATTCTGTGGAGCCTGGCTAACACTAAATAAGTAGATGTTAAAGAGACCCATGCAGTTTCTGATTCCAGTGTTTTTAATATCCGGTGGTCTCAGCGAAGTTTACCGTCGTGTTTGCAATGTGGGACTCTGTTTGTTTGTCCTTGGAGTGACATGACCCTTCGTTACTCTGCCATGGTGTGAAGACCTATAGGTGCTCTGATAGCTCTCCGCTATCAGAGCTATAGTGGGATTTCCTGAAAGGCGTCTCCTTATATAGCGGCCTAATGTCTTCTGCCCCAGATCAGTCAGTCTCACAGAGCAGCACATGGCTAGTTACAGAAGGCCCCTTGCCATGGCTGCTTGCTGGGGAGACAACTTGTATTTGCGCCTTTAATCTCACTGTTAGCCGTCATTCTGGGATAGCCTGATTAATTCAGCGTTCCTCGACACGCAGGTTCTTTCTCTAGCAATCTGTCACATCTGAGCTGAGTTAATTAAAGCCACAGGAAGGGAGATGGAATTAGGGTGTCAGGATTCCTGTACCCACCAGATGTCTGACACTGTTAACGATGTTAAAAATAGTAACCAGCTCTTGGTTTGACTCCCTCAAAACTAACATAATTCCCTGTCGGTGCTGCGGCAAATGCTGGCGCTATTTAATTAATTGTATGACGCCGAGTATTGCTGCAAATTCAAAGTGATTTCTTTTTTAATTTTAGGCCAAAACAAATAATTTAGCTGTGTTCCCAGTGCTGCTATTTTGGCCTTACATTTGAAATCACAACAATTCTCACTTTAATAAATATCTGTTTCTGGGCTCACATTGTCCACCCGCACACTGCCAGCCCTTAACGCCTACCTATCTCCTCGCCTGCTGTCTGAACGCCGCGTGCATGGCACTGATGGACGCTGGCCTCCCCCTGCATTTCCTCTTCTGTGGGGTCACTTGCGCACTGAATCCTGATGGCCACCTGACCCTTGACCCTAACACTAAGCAACAGAAGGTAAGTCCATGGCTTGGGTGAGTACATGGCGCAGCCTCCTGGCAGAGTTGGTAAAGGTTTTTAATTATGTTACTGTATTAACAGGAGAGCCGAGCCGTCCTAACCTTCGCTATAGAGAGTACGGAAAACAAAGTGTTAACAGTGTTTTCTCGAGGAACATATTCTACTACAGAGGTAAGGCCACCACCCTCATACACAGTGCATCCTAATCCTTCACCTCCTAATAAGAGATCAGTCACGTCTCTTATACAGGTGTTCAATGGAAACCTCTAGGACTGGCAAGTTAGTGTATTAAACTACTAGGACGGCGGGTGAGGGTATAAAGCTGCTGATGGGGAACCTCTAGGACTGGCGGGTGAGGGTATAAAGCTGCTGATGGGGAACCTCTAGGACTGGCGGGTGAGGGTATAAAGCTGCTGATGGGGAACCTGTAGGACTGGCGGGTGAGGGTATAAAGCTGCTGATGGGGAACCTCTAGGACTGGCGGGTGAGGGTATAAAGCTGCTGATGGGGAACCTCTAGGACTGGCGGGTGAGGGTATAAAGCTGCTGATGGGGAACCTCTAGGACTGGCGGGTGAGGGTATAAAGCTGCTGGTGGGGAACCTCTAGGACTGGCGGGTGAGGGTATAAAGCTGCTGATGGGGAACCTCTAGGACTGGCGGGTGAGGGTATAGAGCTGCTGATGGGGAACCTCTAGGACTGGCGGGTGAGGGTATAAAGCTGCTGGTGGGGAACCTCTAGGACTGGTGGGTGAGGGTATAAAGCTGCTGATGGGGAACCTCTAGGACTGGCGGGTGAGGGTATAGAGCTGCTGATGGGGAACCTCTAGGACTGGCGGGTGAGGGTATAAAGCTGCTGATGGGGAACCTCAAGGACTGGCGGTTGAGGGTATAAAGCTGCTGGTGGGGAACCTCTAGGACTGGCGGGTGAGGGTATAAAGCTGCTGATGGGGAATCTCTAGGACTGGCGGGTGAGGGTATAAAGCTGCTGATGGGAACCTCTAGGACTGGAGGGTGAGGGTATAAAGCTGCTGATGGGGAACCTCTAGGACTGGTGGGTGAGGGTATAAAGCTGCTGTTGTAGGATCGCGTTAACCCTCTCCCTGCTGCTGTTGTAGGATCGCGTTAACTCTCTCCCTGCTGCTGTTTATAGGATCGTGTTAACCCTCTCCCTGCTGCTGTTATAGGATTGCGTTAACCCTCTCTCTGCTGCTGTTGTAGGATCGCGTTAACCCTCTCCCTGCTGCTGTTGTAGGATCGCGTTAACCCTCTCCCTGCTGCATTTGTAGGATCGCGTTAACCCTCTCCCTGCTGCTGTTGTAGGATCGCGTTAACCCTCTCCCTGCTGCTGTTATAGGATTGCGTTAACCCTCTCCCTGCTGCTGTTATAGGATTGCGTTAACCCTCTCCCTGCTGCTGTTATAGGATTGCATTAACCCTCTCCCTGCTGCTGTTATAGGATTGCGTTAATCCTCTCCCTGCTGCTGTTTATAGGATTGCGTTAACCCTCTCCCTGCTGCTGTTGTAGGATCGCGTTAATCCTCTCCCTGCTGCTGTTTATAGGATCGCGTTAACCCTCTCCCTGCTGCTGTTTATAGGATCGCGTTAACCCTCTCCCTGCTGCTATTTATAGGATTGCGTTAACCCTCTCCCCGCTGCTGTTGTAGGAGCGCATTAACCCTCTCCCTGCTGCTGTTATAGGATTGCGTTAACCCTCTCCCTGCTGCTGTTTATAGGATTGCGTTAACCCTCTCCCCGCTGCTGTTGTAGGAGCGCGTTAACCCTCTCCCTGCTGCTGTTGTAGGAGCGCGTTAACCCTCTCCCTGCTGCTGTTATAGGATCGTGTTAACCCTCTCCCTGCTGCTGTTATAGGATCGCATTAACCCTCTTCCTGCTGCTGTTGTAGGATCGCGGTAACCCTCTCCCTGCTGCATTTGTAGGATCGCGGTAACCCTCTCCCTGCTGCATTTGTAGGATCGCGGTAACCCTCTCCCTGCTGCTGTTGTAGGATCGCGGTAACCCTCTCCCTGCTGCTGTTATAGGATTGCGTTAACCCTCTCCCTGCTGCTGTGCAGTTTGTTTCAGTAGCTCAGACTGTATTACTCTGGATCTGGAGCGACAGCTATGCAGTGCAGAGCGTTTTATGTACAAATTCACAAGAGAGACTCAGGACCGTGTGTTTACTATTAACATTCCCGGGGAGTTTCTTTTGCTGGATGATGTGAAATCTCACTGTCCGTGGCCTTGGAGTAATCAGCTGTTACGTGGCAGCTCGTGGCTAGCCTTACCAAACCGAGCACAGCCATTCTTATAATCCAAATCTAAGAATAAAGTGTTCAATCATTATCTTTCTAAACCCTCAATTTCACAGCTACTGCACCCTGCAGCTCTCTCTGCTATTCCTGTACTGACCCCACGCACAGCTCTGTCACTACACCTCCATCCTGCCCTGCAACTCTCTCTGCTATTCCTGTACTGACCCCACACACAGCTCTGTCACTACACCTCCATCCTGCCCTGCAGCTCTCTCTGCTATTCCTGTACTGACTCCACACACAGCTCTGACACTGCACCTCCATCCTGCCCTGCAGCTCTCTCTGCTATTCCTGTATTGACCACACACAGCTCTGTCACTGCACCTCCATCCTGCCCTGCAGCTCTCCCTGCTATTCCTGTACTGACCCCACACACAGCTCTGTCACTACACCTCCATCCTGCCCTGCAGCTCTCTCTGCTATTCCTGTACTGACCCCACACACAGCTCTGTCACTGCACCTCCATCCTACTCTGCAGCTCTCTCTGCTATTCCTATACTGACCCCTCACAGAGCTCTGTCACTACACCTCCATCCTGCCCTGCAGCTCTCTCTGCTATTCCTGTACTGACCCCACACACAGCTCTGTCACTGCACCTCCATCCTGCATGCAGCTCTCTATACTATTCCTGTACTGACCCCACACACAGCTCTGTCACTACACCTCCATCCTGCCGTGCAGCTCTCCCTGCTATTCCTGTACTGACCCCACACACGGCTCTGTCACTACACCTCCATCCTGCCCTGCAGCTCTCTCTGCTATTCCTGTACTGACCCCCACACACAGCTCTGTCACTACACCTCCATCCTGCCCTGCAGCTCTCTCTGCTATTCCTGTACTGACTCCACACACAGCTCTGTCACTGCACCTCCATCCTGCCCTGCATCTCTCTGCTATTCCTGTACTGACCCCACACACAGCTGTGTCACTGCACCTCCATCCTGCCCTGCAGCTCTCTGCTATTCCTGTACTGACCCCACACACAGCTTCTGTCACTGCACCTCCATCCTGCCCTGCAGCTCTCTCTGCTATTCCTGTACTGACCCCCCCACACAGCTCTGTCACTACACCTCCATCCTGCCCTGCAGCTCTCTCTGCTATTTCTGTACTGACCCCACACACAGCTCTGTCACTACATCTCCATCCTGCCCTGCAGCTCTCTGCTATTCCTGTATTGACCCCACACACAGCTCTGTCACTGCACCTCCATCCTGTCCTGCAGCTCTCACTGCTATTCCTGTACGGTGTTTACAGACTGCTGTCTGGGTTCCATATGATCTAAAGGTTTAACATAAATATGAAGTGTTTTCATGTTTTTTATTCTCTGAGCGCTGAAGGTCCCGAGTCGGGCGTCACAGAGTACAAAGTGTTCTGTGTCTCTCTGTCACATACACATAGCTTACAAATCGTTCCCAGCTGGGCTTTCATATCTCACATTGTGTCTCTGAGCATCTGAATCTTCACCTGAATATCAATAAGATAAACTCGGTATTACAGCCTGCAACCACCGAGCCATTGTGTTACAGCTCCTTCTGTCTGTGTCACCCTGCAGTGGGAGGGACAGACTCTGTGTCCCATAGCTCCTTCTGTCTGTGTCACCCTGCAGTGGGAGGGACAGACTCTGTGTCCCGTAGCTCCTTCTGTCTGTGTCACCCTGCAGTGGGAAGGACAGACTCCGTGTCCCGTAGCTCCTTCTGTCTGTGTCACCCTGCAGTGGGAGGGACAGACTCCGTGTCCCATAGCTCCTTCTGTCTGTGTCACTCTGCATCGGGAGGGACAGACTGTGTGTCCCATATCTCCTTCTGTCTGTGTCACCCTTCAGTGGGAGGGACAGACTCTGTGTCCCATAGCTCCTTCTGTCTGTGTCACCCTGCATCGGGAGGGACAGACTGTGTGTCCCATATCTCCTTCTGTCTGTGTCACCCTGCAGTGGGAGGGACAGACTCTGTGTCCCATATCTCCTTCTGTCTGTGTCACCCTGCAGTGGGAGGGACAGACTCTGTGTCACCCTGCAGTGGGAGGAACAGACTGTGTGTCCCATAGCTCCTTCTGTCTGTGTCACCCTGCAGTGGGAGGGATAGACTCCGTGTCCCATAGCTCCTTCTGTTTATGTCACCCTGCAGTGGGAGGGACAGACTGTGTGTCCCAATAGCTCCTTCTGTCTGTGTCACCCTGCAGTGGGCAGGTCTATGGGTGCTGTATGATTTGTTGCCTGTAATGTGTGTTGTCCAGCATTGATAGAGTTAATCGTTTGCTCAGTATCTTTGTTAGTAATGTGGGATCTGGGTTGTACGGTTGTGGTTCCATCTCTCTCTACATGTTAAGAATTCCCTCCAGGCAGATAGACTGGGAGATTTTAATAAAGTGAACTTATGAGAATCATTAAATTTGTACAAATAATCTGTGTCCCTGCAGCGATTCTTAAACTGAGCGGGGGAGGAGGGTACTGCGCTCACACACACTGTGTATATTACCGCACTCACTCTGTGTATATTACCGCGCTCCCTCACACTGTATATAATACCGTGCTCCCTCACACTGTGTATAATACCGCGCTCCCTCACACTGTGTATAATACCGCGCTCCCTCACACTGTGTATAATTCCACGCTTACTCACTCTCACACTCTTTCTGTCTCCCCAGCTCCAGCAGAGTATCGCTGTGGCTCAGATCGCAGCTCAGAAGATCTTTACATTTTACAGAGACTCGGTGAGGAGAAGATACTCGAAATCCTGAGAAAACTGTTTCTTTGCAGAGAAAGGAGATCCATTTTTCTTAGCCACTCCCATCCCCTTACAATCGCCTTCCCTTACCCCTCCTTCACAGCCCTCACCCCTCCATCACCCCATTGCCTCCCCTCACCCCTCCGTCACCCCATTGCCTCCCCTCACCCCTCCGTCACCCCATTGCCTCCCCTCACCCCTCTGTCACCCCATTGCCTCCCCTCACCCCTCCGTCACCCCATTGCCTCCCCTCACCCCTCCGTCACCCCATTGCCTCCTCACCCCTCCGTCCACCCTATTGCCTCCCTCACCCTCACCACCTCTTTGCTCTCAATCCCTCTCCACCCATTGCCTCCTCACCCCGCCTTCACCCCATTGCCTCCCCTCACCCCGCCTTCACCCCTATCCTTCCCTCACCCCGCCTTCACCCCACTGCCTTCCCTCACCTCGCCTTCACCCCATTGCCTTTCCCTCATCCCCATCATCTTCTCTCATCCCTACTTTACCCCCATCGCTCCCCCTTTCTTCACCCCATCACATTCTACACTTCTCTTTCCCTTCACATCCTGCTACTTTTAACCTTTGCCCTGTCCTTTCTCCATTATTAGTTTTGGTATTATTTAGATAGCGCCATCTAATTCCATAGCGCTGTATAATGACCTGTGAAATTCAGTTTAGTTTGTATTCAGTTCATGCATTTCATATTACCGTTGATGTTTGTGAATAAAACTGTTTATTTTTTCCCTGTTTGTATCGGCTCCATGTGATGTTGACCCGAGTGATGCTGTACAGATAGTGTAATAATGTTTATTATATAGCTGTGTGACGGTGCATGTCCAGGGCATTTTTGCTGCGGATAATATTCTGAGATTGTCTGATAGGAGTTTGGATTATCGCTCAGATTAAATCTCTCCTCTATTACGGCAATGTCACTGCTATTGTGCCGTCTGACTACTGATTGTGTGCATGTCATGTTGAGCTGTATATCACGCCGGCAATATCCTGTGAATGGCGTGACCTCTGCAGCTGCTGTGCCTAGCTCGGCCATTCCGTTCAATTAAACCACTTTCTCATCCTGCACGTCAAACCCCCAAAACTCAGGGGGGCTCTCCCTCTACTCCCATTCTGCCAGGTCAGTGAAAGGTTTCCTGCAAAGAATGACATCTGGAGGACCTTCACTCACAGATTTCATTACCCCCGCCTGCACTCCTCTCTGTGCTTCACTCACACTATTGCCCCTTCCCTCCTCTTCCCTGTGTATTCTCTCTCCTCGGCCTCTTTAGCTGCTGTCAGGATAATATTATCAGAACTGTTTATTTCTTAATAGCTTCCCATGTGCGGCGAGCTGGGGTACGTTCTCTGTGCAGCCTGGACTGGCAGCATGAAACGCCAGCAGTGGGAGCCACTAATTGGCCAGAGACAAACGGTAAGAGCCTTGTCAGATATTATTAGGAATCGAAACGGAGACCACATGAACAGTGTCCTCCATCCGCCCTTGCCAACTCATTCACTGGTTAATGCTTTTAGGAAGAGAGCAGTAAATGGGAGGCCGCGCCATGCGTCTACTACACGGCTGCAAAAGTAAAAGCAATAAACAAGAATTGTTTTAGCCTTTACTAGGCAGAAATAACCTGCTATCTCCGCTCTTTATTTACTCCTTATCCCCACTGTTTATTTACCCCTCTATCCTCGCTGTTTATTTACCCCTTGTTCCAGCTGTTTATATACCCTGATTATTTACCCCTCTATCCCCGCTGTTTATTTACCCCTCTATCCCCGCTGTTTATTTACCCCTCTATCCCCGCTGTTTGTTTACCCCTCTATCCCCGCTGTTTGTTTACCCCTTTATCCTTGCTGTTTGTTTACCCCTTTATCCTTGCTGTTTGTTTACCCCTTTATCCTTGCTGTTTGTTTACCCCTTTATCCTTGCTGTTTGTTTACCCCTCTATTCCCGCTGTTTGTTTACCTCTCTATTCCCGCTGTTTATTTACCCCTCTATCCCCGCTGTTTGTTTACCCCTCTATCCCCGCTGTTTGTTTACCCCTCTATCCCCGCTGTTTGTTTACCCCTCTCTCCCGCTGTTTGTTTACCCCTTTATCCTTGCTGTTTGTTTACCCCTCTATTCCCGCTGTTTGTTTACCCCTCTATTCCCGCTGTTTGTTTACCCCTCTATCCCCGCTGTTTGGTTACCTCTTTATCCTTGCTGTTTGTTTACCCCTTTATCCTTGCTGTTTGTTTACCCCTTTATCCTTGCTGTTTGTTTACCCCTCTATTCCCGCTGTTTGTTTACCCCTCTATTCCCGCTGTTTGTTTACCCCTCTATCCCCGCTGTTTGGTTACCTCTTTATCCTTGCTGTTTGTTTACCCCTTTATCCTTGCTGTTTGTTTACCCCTTTATCCTTGCTGTTTGTTTATCCCTCTATTCCCGCTGTTTGTTTACCCCTCTATTCCCGCTGTTTGTTACCCCTCTATTCCCGCTGTTTGTTTACCCCTGTATTCCCGCTGTTTGTTTACCTCTCTATCCCCGCTGTTTATTTACCCCTCTATCCCCGCTGTTTGTTTACCCCTCTATCCCCGCTGTTTGTTTACCCCTTTTCCTTGCTGTTTGTTTACCCCTCTATCCCGCTGTTTGTTTACCCCTCTATCCCCGCTGTTTGTTTACCCCTTTTCCTTGCTGTTTGTTTACCCCTCTATCCCGCTGTTTGTTTACCCCTCTATTCTCGCTGTTTGTTTACCCCTCTATTCCCGCTGTTTGTTTACCTCTCTATCCCCGCTGTTTGTTTACCCCTCTATGCCCGCTGTTTGTTTACCCCTCTATCCCCGGCACTTTTTACCACAGTAGCGTGGTTAAATGGAAACATACAGGTCATTCATTATATTGGGAATATCATATTTACAATAAGTGTAAACATTCTCCATTCAGCCCTTTTCTGTTAAATGACTTCGGCCTACGGTATCAAATTACTTACATTTTAACAAACTGAAATCTAAATCACTATATTAAGGCATTAGAAATGGATTCGAATCCAGCGGCAGTAACCGGCCAGCAATGTTTTGCTAATTTTCGGATGGTTTCGCACAATTTTCCAAGCGATCACAATAAAAAAAATCCCCGGAGCATTTTACTGTGGCGAACGCATCCACAGTCCTAAAATATTTTATGGGTGAAAGGGGAAAATCCTTCGATCCCCAAATGTGTCTGTTTATCCTGGTGATATCAGTCATTTGTTTTATTCTGTGAATGGTAAAATGGTCAGGAAAAAGTATCAAAATGGCAAATTATTATTTCACATTAAAGAACAGACAGAAAATGGCTAAAACTAGCAGATAATCGATCAGTGATGCTACTAATTGGCAGGTACGTCTTTACCAGGGGTGCCCAATAGGTAGATCCCCTCAAGTTTTAAAACTACACCTACCATGATGATTTACCATTCTAAAGGCATTCTACGATCACGCAAAGCACTATGGGAGTTATAGTTTTACATCATTTGGGGATCTACATTTTGGGCACCCTTGGCCAGGTGTAATTATTATGGCATCTGTTTCACTATGTACTAATGTCCTTACAGGGTTAATCAGCTAAGTGAGAATCCAGAGTAACCGACCTGGCAGATTAGCTTACTTGGAGAAATTCTCCACTTTGGCTATTTTGACCTTAAATTTTAAATCCACTTTGAATTCTCAATGAAGTGAATAAGCCTGTTGTGTTTCAAGTCCTTTATAACTGTCGAAATTGATTATTGTCTGATGTTTTCGTTAAAGTGTCTTTAATTCCGCTGCAACAGGATTGTAGTCACGGTAACTTCAGTACGTAATGTCATTTAAAAAAACAAAACAATTTGTACACAGATTTTACCTTCTACAGGCGTTCTATTAAAAAAATATATATATATTGTTTGAAGGAAATGCCAGTCAAGAAGTGTTTGAAATTTAAAGAGGATTTTTTTTTGGGGGGGAAACAAAAAACAGATATATAAAAGAATTGTATTCGATAGACAAGAAAGAAAACATAAAATAACTAAATAATAAACAATTAATGTTAATATCATCATGACTGTCTCCAATGGGCTAAGCAGGACTGCGCTGATTGGCTAAGAGGATGAGCTGAGTCCATTCACCAATTGAGCGCCATCCTGTCTGAGACCTACTTCGCACAGTGGCGAAATGTGGTGCAAGTGCCTGGGGGACCAAAATAAGTTGGCACCATAACAACTGCATAGGTGTGTAGTGGTTATGGTGCTTTAAATGTTCCTGCTCGCCGCAGCCATTAGTGTGCTGATAATTATCAAAGGTAAGACTGTAGTTTTCCTCTATAAAAGTAGTGACTTTAGATCAGCTGCAAATTAAATTAGCTATAATTTAGTTGAGCCTTTGGATTTTCATACAGGAAAAAAATAACGGATTGGAACAGATACTCTGGATCATAATTTTCACTCCATAATTTGCCTCAATTTATGTTTCAGTTAATCACAGTCACTATTAAAGTGCATTGCTGAGCATTGTTCACCATTGATGGATAAATTTATATTAAAAATCCAGTACACACGTGGTATTAAAGGGACACTATAGTCACCAGAACAACTACAGCTTATTGAATTTTTTCTGGTGAGTAGAATCATTACCTTTAGGCTTTTTGCTGTAAACACTGTCTTTTCAGTGAAACTGCAGTGTTTACATTACAGTCTAGTGATAATTCCAATGGACTTTCCTCAGATGGCTGCTAGAGGTGCTTCTTGGGGCAGTGCTGCACAGTGGGGCTGACATCCAGTGCCTCCGCGCTCTGCATGGAGACCCTGAACTTTCCTCATACAAATGCATTTATTAAATGCATTTCTATGAGGAGATGCTGATTGGCCTGATGATGTCAGCCAAGGAGGCAGACCAGGGGCCAGCAGCAGGAGACTGGAATAAATGTAAGATTTTACTATATTATGGGGGGCCAGATGGTATTTTAACACTATAGGGTCAGCAGTACATGCTTGTGGTCCTGACCCTATACTGTTCTTTTAAATAATGAATGTGCTATGTCATCAGAATCAGTACAAAGTCTGTGACATGACTGCACTTATTCACTAAACTGAATTTTGTAGTTTGATTTCTCCGTTAAGCACAGTTCGCTGTTTAGTAAATAGCTGCCCTGATGTCTGAATCCTGTCCTGCGCCTGTTGTAACTGGTTCGAGATACCGGACCCCACTTGATGACCATTCATCTCCCCACCCATTTCCCCAAGGAGATACTTTGTGACACGGAGGCCTGAAATCCTTGTTTTAATCTAGGCCAATCTGCTCTCAT